ACAAACATAACTATTGGAGCCGGGTACCATTCTGCAAAAAAGTATGTATATCTTCGTACACAACCAGATCTGAGGCTGGTGGCCATAGTAAAAGTTGTTCATCTTGGTAAGACCTTTCAAACGATACTAGACACATATCTATTGGAGCCGGGTACCATTTTGCCCATTGTCCTTTAATTATCTGTCTGTAAATAACAGGCCATGGTTATTAACAATGAAGAACTTTTTTAATATTTGACTAATTTTAGATTTATAACCTTTAGTTAATTAGAAACTCAAGAGATTATTTATACTAGCCCGAATTCCTGCGTCTAAAGCCTGGTCTGTGAGCACGTAGAATTTTGCAATATATTACGCGCGAGAAATAAGGATGGGTAGCTTGGTGTCATTGGACAAACTTCTACGTGCTCCCGGACCAGGCTTTAGATACATTCTAGTCCATCTAGGCCCCGCTACGTCCAAGCCCCGGCGCTGTGCGTGCGCTGCGCGCGCGCTATCTCGTGTCGCAGGCGCCGCTCGCGCGCGCACGCCTCCCTGCGCGCCGCCTCACGGTGGCTAGCCGCCGCGGCCTGCTGCTGCTGCACGAGCAGGCTGTTTAGCTGGGATTGGAGCGACGCCATGGTGGAGTGTGAGATATAGTAGCGCGTCTTTTCTAGATACAGGATTCAGTCTCCATGGTCATTTTCTTTCTCAAAGAAGTATCGTTTGCGATGTGACGCGGGCTAGGCAGTTTCTTGAATTTACTCGTTCTTTTCTTATACAGAGTGTAAAAATAACATTTCTCTGAAGTCAAAAATTTCATTGTAAAATCATCCTATATTGAAAAATACAGTTTTACCTATAGTATACCAATTGACAAAGATGGCCAACTTGATAGGGTGCCAACTGCCAAAGTGACCATGACCATGACTATGACTATGACCATGACCATGACCATAACCATGACCAAGACCATGACCTAATAAGCACACGATGTATATTTATTCTGGTCTACAAAAGTCTGAATTCTCACGTCTATACACTCATTCCAGTCCAACTACCCGCTACGTCCAAGCCCCGGCGCTGTGCGTGCGCTGCGCGCGCGCTATCTCGTGTCGCAGGCGCCGCTCGCGCGCGCACGCCTCCCTGCGCGCCGCCTCACGGTCGCTAGCCGCCGCGGCCTGCTGCTGCTGCACGCGCAGGCTGTTTAGCTGGGATTGGAGCGATGCCATGGTGGAGTATGTTGCGTTCTTCAGCTGGAATAAAGATGATTGAGATACAGTTTTTGGTCACGAATTTGCTGTGTGAATTTTGATTTATGACAGAAAGACATAAGCCTAATTCATTCATGAATAATGTGGTTTTTTACTGATGAAAGAAATTCATGGCCATATTCACAAACGATGCTTGCTTAAGTGAAGCAGAAAATCTAACGCACAGCGTTGAATAGAGCTCTGTGATTGGTTTGTGTGTCACCCTGTGCGTCCAAGCGCACTGTGAGACCTCATAGTAATGTCTGTGAATACGGGCGTCAGCTTAGCACCCAAGCCTCAATGTCCTCAATGTCATAGAAGGCATAAAACTTAAAGTAGCAAACAAAACGTTGTATGTTCAAATCCCACTCACAAATGTGACAGCATTAATTTCGAAATCGCTTCACGGAGCAAATTGACTTCGAAATAACAACTTTCACATTACTTGCTTCACCTAGGTCCTAAAAAGTAGTCGATTTGACCATGATAACTCATTAAAATTATATTCGCAAAAGAAAATCACTAACTATTTTTAAGAATCATTAAACCACGAGTATACCAACCTGAGTCTCCCTTTCCCTAGACCGTACTTCCTGGTGGAAGCCGTCCATATCTTCGAGAATTTTCTCTCGTTCCAGAACGTTCTCCTTCTGCTGCTGTCGGTTGGCTTTTATCTTCTCTTCCAGCTGTCTTCTCAGAGTCGATATCACCTCGTTCATGAGTATCGATCGTGCATCTCTTTCTTTGGCCCACAGCTGTAAACATTAATATTTAATAATAGTACTCCATTAGAAAACATTGTCAAACGTTGAGATTAGTATGGTTAGTAGTATGGTTTTGATGCCCCTTTGCACGTGGGTGTAGTTGAAATATCTCTAAAAAATACTACAACAGTGTCGCTATTGTTTCACG